TCTTTCCTTCTTGCAGCTAGTACTGGACAGGGTAACACCAGCAGGAAAAAAAATCCAACTTTGTTTTCCAGACCTTAAGGCTGCTTGACCTTTCCTCAGTAAATGTATCATACCTGAGTTTTCGTCATGCCTCTCACTGAAAAATGGGTACAAAACTTCTAAGTGAAGCCTAATGCCACTGGGAAACACAAAAGAGAAAAACAATAGAAACTGCAGAGATTTTCTTAACTACAGAATCCCTTTTTATATCTGTTACAATTTAAGCAGTAAGATGCACAGAATAAGCAGGATGAAGGTAAATGGTAAAGCAGGGTTGAAATACACACCTTAGGGTGGCTGCCTAATAAAACACATTACATCACTTTTCCAGTAAGTTTCTTCATCTTAAAACTGTGGTTCATTTTATTCATTCTTCCCTAGTTTGTCGTGATAGTCAGCATAATAAATTTCAAACCTTTGACCTACGATGACTACACCTTCCCTCTCTGGGCAAATCGCATTGGCTGGGGAATAGCATTATCTTCAATGACACTTGTGCCTGCCTATATTATCTATAAATTTATGAATGTGCGTGGGACCTTTAAAGAAGTAAGTGGAACGCTAATGAAATGTCATGAAATGTTGCTATGAAATGAAATGGCTGGATCTAAGTTGGCAGTTTGTTTCTCTTACTCCTAAAACTTATTACTTATGAGTGACCTTTTGGATCCAAACTTCAGATGGATTGGAGTTTTGAGGCAGGATTACTGTATGCTGTTTGAGTTTCTAGATAGAAATTAACTTTCCAGAAAGCACCATAATAATTCTGAAAAAAATTTTTGATGCATGTAATTAGTCTGATTGTTTTTTTTTTCTTCCTTATTAACAAAAAAATATACAAATTATGTTTCCTTCATATTCAGTTATAAGGTATGGTGTTCACACAATTCTACCTACACAGAGTTCAGTCCAAGGTATTCTTTATTCACTCTATAGTGGAGAGTTGTAAAGCATTATATGTACAAAGTTAATTCAGACCTCCCCTATATTAGCATTGTAACAGTCTCTAAACATATACCCATATGCTAGGAGGTTGGGATGTGCCCCCAAAACAGCCCTGTGTTCAGAATGCCCTTTGTTCATCGAATGAGCATCCAGCAAGGACAGAAGAAATGCCTTAGTGGGTCACAGCAATAGATCCATTTAGCCCAGTATTCTGTCTTTAACAGCAGCCACTTCATCTTTGATTTTCTCTGTCAAATATGAATTCTCTGTTTACTAGAATTATTTCAACCTTCTGCCAAGGCTAGAATTAATGCAGATCTTTCTATTGTGTTCATCACTAATATCAGCATACTTGAAGAAACTTAATATTCAAGATAGACCAAGGTGCTGAAATAGATTTGGAAATCAACAAAATTCTGATATAGGCACCACTTATGGTCTGATCTAGCCTGTTGCTTTTTAACTACTTCAGCAAAAGAAGCCAGGTATTAGACAGCAGCATCTTGCACTACATAAACCCATTTCATGCATAATATGCCTGGTCTGTGCACTGAATAAAGCAGAAACTGAGGGAGAAACAATTTGTGACCATCTTATTCTAACGATTTGCCAGCAGCAAGAAGTTTAACATTGCAACCTTAATAGTGTTCTTTTAACTTCCTTTATATGTCTACGTGTAGTACTAACGTATTAATTCTAGTTAAAAGAACCTGTTTCTATGGGAAAAAACGTATCCATACTTCCTTGCAGTTCACCCCCCTGTACTTTTTTTATCAGTTCATAATGACACAGGATTAAGGCTCACTGACCCTATTAATTTTATTATATTAATTTTACCATCACTGTCACAGTAAATTGTCTATAGTCTTAAAACCTCTAATGGTGCTCAGAAGTAAGACTCCCCACCACTACAGAGCATCAGTTTTTGTCCTGTCATGTCATGATTTTATAACCTAGGCTCTTTGACTTGTACCTAGTTCTATTGCTCTCCTTTCCTACCACTACAGTTACATAATGGTGTAGCAAGATATTGATGCTCTTGAGCAAATCATTGAACTACCAGCACACAGAGAATTAAACAGAAAACAGGATCTCACCCTTTACCTGGATAGGGTGCATGTCCCTCACATCGACCTGACAGACCCAGAAGGACAAATGCCTTATTTCTGAAACATTACAGTCACCTCACTTAATGTTCACTTCAGAAGGATACCCCAAAGTGGGAACTCCTCTTCACCTGCCTTGTTTTCATCAGCTCCAACATCTCAATGCTGTGCACAATTTCTAGCTCTCATTTCCAGCAATTCTATAACCTTCTGTTTTGTTCCATTCCCAGGGGTTTACAAACCTATTTTTCAGCAGCATCTATGTGTCCAAGAATAATTTATACTGGCCCAACAGGCGTTTGCCAGCTTGCGCAAGTTTACCAATATTGGGATGCAGAAGCCTTTGGCCAAGAACTCATTTGCTCATTCATTTTGTAGTGTTAGCAAGTTCTGGTTTGTCTTTTACAGCTCCTGTAGACAGCAACCCTTCAGTCTCCCCATGAGAAATACAGCAAAAGGCTAGTACGTTACATCCAAATATCTACCATAAGATATGATGCCCTAAACTGTGGTTCTTAAAAGTATGGGGAAAGGTATGCTCTTAGTCTAATGGGAACTCCTTAAATTGGTTGAAAGTTCATGATAAACCAAAAATCTACATGTGACCCCAAATGGCACAGCACAGCATAAACAAGGGACATGAGCTGGGAAATAGTCAGTACCTCCTTCCTCTCCCACTGGGACCAGTCCACTTCATTACAGCACCACCAGAGAAGTGTGATTTAGGGGATGTCAGGCCTGTGATACCGACCTGTTCCTGATGTTCTTTCCCATATGCACTTGCTAAATATTTGGACTTAGTATTTGCATAAACTTTCTACTGTTGCTTCTTATATTAAAGGCTAATACCAAGGGGCTTATAATAAGCTTGTTCTCTCAGTGACTAAGTTAAAGGCACACGACGCAGTGATATTAAAGATTTAAGTTACCGTTTTAAAGTTCATGCTACTTCCCCATTATAGATTGGGGATTACAGACATAATCCCACTTCATATGGCTGACTTTTTCCTCTTCTTCCCATCTGGTTTAGAGACTAGCTTACTGCATCACACCTGAAAATGAGCACCAACTCGTGGCCCAAGGAAATGTCAGGCAGTTTAAGGTTTGTACTCCTTTCACCATGCTTCCTCTCCTAATATCAACCCTCACCTATCTTTAGCAACAACTACAGGTCTGCACCAGTCTCCTCATAGAGGATGCTTTTGCAGGTCTGTGGTTCTTTATTTCTGCCAGCATGACAAGATGCAGGAGGCTCAGTACGGATTCACATCAACTCTGTTGGAAGGCTTTTAGCACCTTCCTTCTTTGACTAAGCAGAGCCCACAGTTTTACAGATCACCTGAATCCAGTATTTTAGGTTGTATCTGAATACAGTGAGACCTCATTAAGAGACAAAGGTATTTCCAGAATATCTTGTGCATTTGAACAGGTCATAGCCTCTCCCTCAGATATTGCACAGCAAGCTGAGGTCATGTTTCCTAAACTCCAATTATGTACCACAACACATGGTAAACAGCAAAGCAAATATCCAGTGTCAGAGCTTAGACATAATGGCAGTGATGAAATAACGTGCTGGGTTATGTGCAACAGGCTTTCCCCACAGGCCTACAGTTGATTGAAAACACTGCTGGAGACTTCTTAAGCAGCCATGAAAAATATGCCGTAGGATTCCAAACACTGCTTTCCTTATAGCAAATAAAATTAGCTTATAGAAATAAAGTCCTTTTTGTAGAAGATAAAAAGGATGCAAATATGAAGCTTGTTACACTTATCAGCATTCATGCTGGACCACTTCCTGTCTTCAAAGTTGAAAGCAACTAAAATTATGCATAACACCTCAAAAAATGACCCAGATTTTATAGTGGTGGTTTGTATGTTGGTACTGAAAAAGAAATTTGCCTTTTGCTTACTCTGAAAAATACTGTTTGATGTATAATTTTGAATTCTAAAGGAACTAATCCAGGAATAGATTTCTGGAATGCAGTATGGAAGCAGGAAGAAAAGGCTTCCTGTTTCATGACCGCAATTTATTTGATGTGGCCAAGACTATGTAGTAGCACACCACCTCCTCCTGTCTTTTCTTTTCCCTATTCATGCCCTCAGTTGTCTGAAGTTTTAATGTTCCAGCTGCAGCAACTAGATTTTTCCAGAGGCAGATTATCCTCTGTGAATGGGCTATAAACAGCCATTCCTACACAGTGCCAGTCTTCTGAACCTGAATCTATAATGCAAAAATGAAGCAAATTAATTTCACTTAAGTTAGAAAAGATTGTACTCAGAAGTAAATTCCTACAGATGCCTCAAACCATGTTAAACACTAGGGCATATTAAATTTTTTGCTGTCTTCAGTGAACGGCTAGGGATAGCTTTGTTATTGTTAAAGCACAGTTAGCTATTTGTTTATGATGTTTAAGTTTGTAAACATAACACTGACTACGATAACCAAACAAGTACAAAAAATTTCTTCTCATATATGTTCAACAGTTCTGAATTTTAAAACTGAACTGAGAGCTGCCTAAATAGCTTTTATATTCAGCACATCTCACTGCAAACTAGAATCCACAGAAATTTAGTTATAATCTGTTATTTTGAAACCTCTTTGTAACTCTAGATTTGTCAACCAATGTATTTAAAACATCTCTCACTATCATCACTGGAATCAATGTTATTAAACAACTACTTCTGTTCCCTTACAGCTTCAACACTGGCTAACAATATGACAACCAACAGGTTGAGGAAAAAGCCAATATGTTAAGCTAAACTGAGAATACAGAAAAGGCAAGTTCAAAGCTCCCTCGATTATGCTTGGACCAGGCTGGCTCAGAGCTTATCTACTGACTCTTTGAGGGAAGACATCTGCTCTCTGTTCTCAATGCCTCCCTTCTATTACTTGGCTTCAAACGATCTTTAAAGACTCAGATTAATTTTTCTTACATCCTTCGGTGCTTTTTTCGACCAAAACTTGTGAGTTTTGCTATTGGCAGAAGTGGAGGAGGGGGGAGCAGAGAGAAAAGCAATCAACATAAGTTAAATGCTCCTTTATTGTGAAGAAGTGAATTAAACTTTTCTGACAGTAATAACTACTTCAGATATTAATGCCACGGCCTATTTTAAACCAACACCTGACTGTTCTTAGATCTAAGCAAAGAGTATATCAATTATGAGGAAAGAGCAATTTTAACTATGTATTGAAGTCATTAGCTTTCTTGCCATACTATCCTTTGGGATATGAGTTTGCATCCTTCTGAAGTGAAGACTCAGTGCTTCATTTCAGTGGTCTGTTATTAGTTTCTTCTCTTGATGAAGAAGGTTGTCTTTGCTGTATATGTCCATGCCGTTTTCTGTCCAGTTTAATTACACAAGCTGAAGACCAGCAGGAAAACAATTCCTGCTATAGCTACAAAGTACAGAATACCACGCTGTACTTAATGAAAAATATATTCCCTTATATTAACAATTGAAACAGCTTTATCATATGATCCATATTCTACTGATTTTTTCAGCTACATATGAAATTTACATGCAAATAGACTTTCATCTTTTTGTTACACTTTGCTCCAGTCAAATAATGTAAAATACATAGGAAGAGAGAACAATTTCTAGAATTACAGAATCTACCCAGAGGCACCAAAATACCAAACTTTGGCTTTATTGTCCTGCTGTGAACATGCTATTATTACAATTTAACATGAATTCACCTACTAAAACATAGTAAGATTGTGCTGAATAGATTAGAAGGATATTTTAGGCATACTCGGCTCTCGAAGCCTATTCCAGCTCCTCTCTCTGGTATTATTATGCAAGGTGGAAGATACAGAAAAAACTCCGCATTTGGGTGCTGTTCGTATTTTGTGGTCACTTAGCACTGTAGTATCTTCCCAGTGATCACTAGATTCGGTAGCTTTGAGTTCTTTCTTGTACTTATTTATCACTAGATCTACAGTAATTTTTAGAGGCAGTAGCTTCTCAGCTGTATTCAGCCCAGAGTTTACCTCTGGACCTTACCTCTGTATTTTTTTGCCTCTATAAATTCAGTTCAGTTTGTCTTTTGCATATATGTAGTGCTTCCTCTTTTAAAAACAACCATTTAGAAGGAGAGAGCTTTTTAGTTATAAAATAATTTTTGCTGAGGATTTTTTTTCCTTTTTAAAAATAGCCCAGTTTGAAAGTCCCACGGGATTTTGGCTTTTTCCATTCAACTCTGATTTCTGTTCAAAATAGCGGAAGGGAAATTGCTCTCCTTATTCATCCTTTTCCTCCAACATAATCAATACTTGGGAACTTATCAAGTATTGTCCTTTTCTTAAAGAGTCTCTGTGACATATAGTTTTATTTAAACAGGGTTTTAAACCCAAAGGATACTTTCTTCTAATTCTAAGTCATATTTTTGGCCTAGCTGATGCCCAATAGCTGTTTAAATCCTGTTATTAAATGTATTCCAGTAATAAAGGAATTTCAAATGTTGCAGTTCTAGTTCTGCAATTACACAGGAGGACAAACAGTGAAAATATGTTGAGGGCTTCAAAAAAGCCATCCCACCAACTTCATAGTTAATCCCATTTTTATTGTTTGCCACACTACGTGAGAATCTTTTCAGTGTTATAAAGCTTACTTTTCAATAGTACAGCTGCTTCACTCACTGGCTTGGCATGGCTCAAAAGCTTCTCAGCACAGATATAATTACCAGTTTTGAAATTCTTGGGGGCTCTTTAACATGGAGCTTTAATAGCTTGTTACATTACACATTGTTTGGTTCACTTATGACTGGAAATGCTAACAACCTGCATCAACGGTCACTTGTGACACAGCCAAACCCATGCAGGAAGAGTTACATTTGCTCACCACTCAGCTCTGAAATAGGAGCAAAGCTATCTTAACATGGGAGTGAAATCAGCTTTACCCAGCATGTTAGGGTTTGCTTGTATTTTTGTAGGTTTAGTGTGGTATTTATAGCTCAGGACTCCATTGCACTATTGCCATCTTGCTCTGAGTTTTTATAGACAAACATTATCTACCATCTATACAGAAGATGAGGGGCAAAGCAGAGAAAGCAGCAATCTTATTACCAGGAATAGCCCAAATGAAAAAGAAAGATAACACACACTGCATGACTGCCCAGCTAGGCTTTAAGTTCAGAATGTTACCTAAAGGAAGTCTCTTCAAAAATAATACTTCTGTTCCAGAGACAAAGAATAATATCTTCAATTCTCCAAAGAGTAAGATAGTCAACTACCTCATGCCTCTTGGACAGTAAATGATGCCCTTAGACACAAACTAGCATCCATTCAAATGACAAATATCTTTGTGAAGACCAGTTCTTTTCCTCAACTCCACGATATGGCACAGACAGTCCAATAAGAAGTCACAGCTCTGGCAACCAGCTCCTCTTAGGCACCTGATTTGAGCTGCCTAATACATTTTCAATGTGAAAAATATCAAATGCCACTAAGATACTCATCTCCCTTCAGTTCAACCCCTTGTAGTTTAAAAAAAAATAACCACCCATTCAGGTCCTTATCACCCATGTGTTTTAACTGCAACCCTTCCTCTAACTCAGTCTTGGATTTTCAGCCAAGCAGGTCACTGTTTTGCTCAGCTATACCTGTTGTAGGAACAGACTCACCGAGCTCTCCCAGGTATCCCCACGGAATGGCAAGCATATGCTGATAGAGTAGGCAGCTCACTTCCAAAAGAAGAAAAATTTTGATACGAGCTTATTCAAGATGCAGTATCATCTGCTTGCTAATTATGTTGGCTGTTTTAGTAACAAGCCAATGAGAAGAACTGAGTGAAGCAATTAAACAGCTCATTTGACAGTTCTACAAAATATTTTCTTGAAAGCCTTTTTGTAATCTGATAAAGGAAGCAGCTATCATACATTAGCATCTCTCTTCTGACCTTCTTTCCAGTGAAAAAGACGTACCCGTGATCCTTATTTTTTCATCAAGGCACAGAAAGTTAGTTAGCACCTAGGAAAGAGATCCTCCATTTTCTTTGTGCTCCTCCTGCTGTCATTCAGCAGAATAATTCTTCATATACTTGGTACTGTTCTAAAGCTACATTGCTAAAACTCTAGAGATTTAGGTTTCTGGTACAAACTGTGGGTCTTTCATGGGCAACAGTCCAAAAAGCACCAGTGCTGTGTAGTGTTTGGACCCTGTTTGAACCATGGTTTTTTTTTGTCAGTCCCTCTTGTGTTCTGTCATGTCCTGAGGCATACGCCCTGGCAAAACTTGAAAGACATCTTACCATAGTGAGGGATTTTGCAGGAAATCCAGGATCAAACATGATATTTTAAATATAGAATACAGGAGAAATACTTGGCTGTTGCTATTGTACGTGTTCCCTAACTGCACGTGCAATGCATGTTGTATGTAATTTTCCCAGAGGAAATTCCATATAATTGGTCATTTCTTCTCAGCAAAATACCATTTAAATGCTATTATTTAAAAAGGTCAAACACAAATATTTTGTATATACAACCACTTCTTATGCTATTGTTTTTACATGAATTAAGTTTATTTTGTACTCTTAGGCTGTAGAAGGCCACACAGAAAGTTCTTTTGCTTTTAATGTCTCTTTTGGAGTTCTTCTGATTTATACATCATTCATTAGGGGATACTTGCTTTTATGGGAGAAGATAGCTTTCGTTCATATCCTGGACTGATCACTAAATTTCATGAGGCATTTAGGAAACATTTAAGTATTTCTTTTTCCTAAGAACCAAATTTAAACCCTAGATCAGCAACTTCAAAAGAGCGAGACTTACAAGTGTTTTAATGAGGCACTGCAAATAAAACTTTTTTAAATGGGCCTGAAGGACTCTGACATAAGACAGTTACCACAGCTCAACAAATGACAGTATATAATCTACCTGCAGACCTCATGTGTGCACTCTGAGCCTCTTGGGGCAGTAAAATAGGATATGTTTGTTCTAATACATTTTATTTTCTCAGGGCTAAGAATATATCTGAACATACCACAGATCAGCCCATGTGCAAGAACTCAATCTCTTTAATTTCAAGGCCAGCATGATGTTTCGGATTAGGCCCTTGAATGAGTTTGGAGTCTTGGCTAGAGTATAGGGAGACAGATCTGGAAACACTTCCAGAAAGTGTCCTCCAAAGGAAAACACTTTTTCAGTCTACTTTCCTCTGATTCATGCTCATGTTCCTGTTGGTGACTGTAGGCTGACCTCGCTCATCAGCAGAACATTAACCTGAGAATATGAAGCTAAACTGTCTGTAATACATCAGAGAAGTCAGAAACAGGGCCTTTATGAACATGACTTTATTAGGTTCATGTCTATTTACAAGCTGAAAATTGCACATGGAGCTTTTTAAGCAAAGCTGGCCGGAAATCACCATACAGGACTGAATCTGTGAGCTGCTTGGACACCTGAATTATTACAGAACTTCGTTTCCTAAACTGATATTAGCTGGTACATGAGAAAGCCAGCCACATTCTGGCTTCCTTTAGGAAAAGGTACACTAGTACAGGACAGTACAAAACAGTCGGGAAATCTTTTTGAACTTAATTTATAGAAGTTAAGCCTTCGGTTAAGCCCTGTTGTATCTATGACCTTGCATCACTGAGTTTCTGAGAGGATCATATACAGATAAATAGTTGTATTCTCAAACATGCATGTTGGAGTGTTTCTTTCTGTGCTGTGGAGAACAGATTTTTGTTCAGTCATTTCAGTCTGTTGTAACTCAGACTTCAACTGGCACATTTCACCAAGCACTTGCCCCCCTCTAATCCCTCTTCTCAAAGGACAGTTTTTGCTGACAATCAGCCAAGACTGCTTAGACTGACTGCGCAGTCATGCGCGTGTTCCTTAGCTGTGACTAGATGTACAGTTACTTGGTTTTTCCTGCTTAACTGGAGAATTACAAGACTTGTAAGCCATGCCATGCACAGAGAAACTTTTCCTAGGCCAAAAAACTTGATATTTTTGCACATTGTTCCTAATAAAAATTAAATCAGCGTAGGACCCAGATCCTCAGCTGGTGATTAAGTTGTACAGTGGTACTGTTCACTGCCTGAGACTGAATTTAGATGCATCTACATGCATCAGAGACTACTACAGAGAACCAGATGGCAGACAAAGACATTTCAACCAGCAGAAAAACATAACCATGTAATATAGGTGCTTTTAAGTACAGAATTTGATCAGTTTTCCTTCATCATTTAAAAAAAAAATGTTTAGACAAATTCCGATCACTGTATGACTGACCTAGGAGAAGCATGCAGAGAAACAGAAGACAGAAGTACATATCATGATTGTGTTCTGTGGAACTGTCCTCTGTAGAAGAACACATAGGTGTCTAGGTGCAAGTGGTTGGAATGGAGCCAGGAAGGGGAGAAACCGAGAGGCTTAAGTCTCAGTCCAGCCGTGCAGTCAGCATGTAGGTTAACCATTACTGCCATCAGCTTTCCTGTTGAGAACAGTGGGTCTTTTTGCTGAAGCACTGAC